AAACTATTTATTATTTATACTACAATTAGTAGATAAAAAAAATACGACAATAGGTATCATTAATTGATCACTAATTGTTAACTAATTAACGATAATATCAAGAATAAAGGTACAAGTTAGAAGGGTGTGGGCCTCGCCTCTACCTCTACCTCGGGGTTTTTTCACCAGTAATTCAATTTATCAACTTGAAAATTATTGTATTACAATTAAAAAAAAAAAAAACACTTTTCCCGCTTTTAATATACATTGTGATTGTATAAATGTGTATACGTGTTACATAAATTATATTACGAATTCAATGTGATTCAATCAATATGAAACAGTTCAACAAATATTCTATTCTATATAATGAAATATAATTGCAATAATTCAATCTCTATGTTTTTAAAATTTAGGGATTTATATACTTTCTAGGATTTAATGCTACGAAGAGTAAAACTTTTTAATTTAACTTATTATGATATCGCTCTTATTATGAGTTTTCTTAGTTCATAAACGTTAGCATAATTTCTGACCGTGCAATGCTGCAAGTATATAGTAACCGGTCAAAATGGGTCATGAGTTTAGGATTATCATGCAATAGCTTAGTGTTGTGAAGAAAATTTCCAATCCTAACTGTATGTGACCTTTTGTTATTTAAAGTTTTAAGGTTCTCAGTTTCTCACTCTTTACAAGATATTTTCATGTTTTGCTCATGAATAATACGTGAGCAATTCATGTTCAAGGATTCGATCCTAACCCCTGATAAGAACAAAAAGTTATCGCCCAGGAATTTTCGAATTAAAATTTGGAGCTTCTGTATTTATTTTGTAATAAAACGAAGATAAAAATAACGTTACAAATGGGGCATTTAGCTTACGTTGGAACATTGAATAGGTTGTAGAAGAAAATCGATCAAAGAATACCTACTGTTCAACTCAAATCCAAAAACTAATAGAATGGAAATATTTTCCAACAGTTACATGTAGTTTTATAAAATTTGAATCGCTTTTTAAATATTCTGTCATTGACTATTATACGCACCTGTCAGCCTTGTTTGTATTATGAATTGTGCATATTAGATAAACGCCAGGGCGGGTATTTTAAGCAACTAACTGAGGCTGTTTAAGAATAAATTTCGTCAAGCGATGTAGGATTGCAATGTGATTTACATTTCTTATACTTACACAAGGATGCTACCAGGACAATTTTCTATTCTATTTTCATTAGTAGGATTTATAATATCATCTCAAGATTGTAATAGTAGGGATGAATTTCGTTTGATATAAATAGGTGATAGTGCTTTGTTAAAATTCAGAGTTTGCATCAGTGAACCATTTAGTTGCACTTGTTTCTATGATGGCACTCAAGATGAACTTGGTAAGTGTGATTTTGATAATCATTATTTCATTAAGAAAAATAACATTTGATTTTTTATCTTCGTAATTTGAACTTACCTATACCTTTAAGAGAAGTTATCGGAAGTCATTGTTAAATCAACGATAGGTAAAAGATAAAAGGAAACTTTTCACAGTATACCTACATATACATATACGTATAGGAATTCTACTGAAAAAGATTTAATGATAAAATTACATTTTAAACTAAATAGAAAAATTAAAACATTTGGACAGTTTCATCTTTTTTAATAGAATAATGTACCATTCGCCAGTGGCGTAGAAGGGGTTTTTGCCCACCGGAGTAGCCAACATCTTACTTCCGTAATAAGAAAAGACGTAACCGTCTTAACAATAAAATTCTTTAAAACGAAGATGAAGTTTGAGAATTTTAATATTTTTTTTGTACAAAATTGAAAATCCTTAAAGGAAATAATAGGATTCCTTACTCACATTTCTTTTGATAAAAAGTGTTTAACTCAAAATCTTTCCATCTAATTAGTTAAAATATTTGATTAAACAATAACTATTAATATTACCAATCTTTATACAAACCGGTACTGTTTTTTATTAACTCCTTAAATCTGTGTTTCTTGGTAGGAAGTGGTAGCTTCTTGTAGTTTATGCCCCAAAGTTTGAGTTGGTTTTAGTTGCAAGCGTAAATATACGAATAAGAATTAAAGCGAACAACAACCCGCTTCTTATTCTAAAGGAGTGTTTGGTGGTGAACTCGAAAACCCAAACACACACCAGACGAGAAATCTCGATCATCACTGAAGATTCCACCACCCGCACGTAACAGTCCTCGAACATTCTTAAACGTTCTCCATTCTTTCAGTACAGTTCAAACTAGAACATTTTACTTGAAGACAATAATAGACATTCAAAAATATATTAACTCAGGACCTAGCTCATCATTCAATTATATGAATTATTACTTAATTTAAACTAGTTCGAATGGCTAGCGATCACCTTCAAACTCACATAGCCACCAAAATAGAGAAATCTTGAATATTACAAGAGATTCTCACAGTTTTTAAAACGCTTTGTACGAAGTATATATAAAATGCTCTAATACAGTGCCACAATCCAAGCCCTCCACTCGCACGTAATGGTCTTCGAACATTCCTGAACGTTTTCAATCCTTTCAGTAATGACAATATTCCGTAGAACATTATACATGAAAACAATCATAAACATTCGAGAACATCTTAGCTGAAGATCAAATTAAAACATTCTAGTATCTATGTAATGTACATTATCACTTATTCAAAACTGTTTTTGATGGCTGGTAGTCGACCCACAAGCCCACACGTACTCATCAAATTGGAGAAATTAAAAACATTTTTTAGAATACCTTTCATCATCATTATAAGGTCATCAATCCTAAGACTGGTTGGGCAACCACCTCCACTCTTTCCTATCATGAGCTAATTTTTGCATTTCCCTAAAACTAGAACAAACCATATCCTTAATTATTTGCGAACAGTAATCTAATCTACGTCTACCTCTACCCCTTCTAACTTCTGTCTCTGTCTCTAATATGTCTTTGACTAGACCTTCATGCCTGAGAAGGTGTCCTCCAATCTATCTCGCCTGTTTCTTATTGACTTCCATAGAGTCTACTGTTGTCCTATTCTTTCCAACACCTCTTCATTTCTAACCTTCTCTATCTACGGTATCCTCATCATTCGCCTATAACACCACATTTCGAACGCTTCTAACATTTTCTTTTCCGCCGTATCCACTGTCCATGTTTCGCACCCGAAATATAAACCTGCCCAAAGTTGATCACTTTTAACTATCATATCCCTCACATCATCACAGCTAAAAGACATGCAACCACCATAGTACACGATGGAAGACCCGAGGCTACTACCACAAACAAACCTCGATGGTCTGCGCTGAGTAGTTGTATCTAGAAGTATACAGACACGTGTCTATTTTTATTTATATGTATACATTTTTTATTCAAATGAAAATAACTTTTCCCATTCGAATTATGAAAATATTTCAGTCATTTTAAAACGAAAGGTTTTGTTTAAGATTCATTAATCTAGTCAACCTTTGCTAAATATTATTTTCTTATTAAATGTTGCAGATCATATTCTCCAGTATTTTGGTCATGGCATTTGGTGCTTCATTGGATAACGTATTTTCATCAAACTTTCTTCCGTTTTCGGGATTTCCTGCTTTCAGAACGAATCAATTCCAAAACAATGTACCAATCTTACGTTACAGCAATGACAACAATGAAGACGGAAACTACAGGTATGCCTATGAAACAGGAAATGGAATATCTGTTCAAGAAACCGGACATTTCTCCCCATCTGTGCCTGAAGGGGGTGCAATTGTGGCTAATGGTGGATTTGCATTCACCGGAACTGATGGGCAAACCTACAGTATTTCTTACACAGCTGATGAGAACGGCTTCCGACCAGTTGGGGCGCATATTCCAACACCACCTCCCATTCCAGAAGCTATCGCTCGGTCATTAGCAGGAATAGCCAGAAGTTCGTATACTCCCGATAACGGTCAATATCAATATCAACCTTACTTTGGCGGTTATAGGAACTATTAGTTTCATAAGGCTTGGTTTTTATCCTGATTGATTGACGTGTTTATGTAATTGTCTGAATAAAATGCATGCAAATTAGCAGTTTTTTTTTCAATATTATAGTTATATTATATTATATTCTTATATTAGATGTGTGTTAATTATCATAAGATCATCAGTCTTAAGACTAGTTGGATACGCACCTCCATTCCTTCCTATCTTGAGAAAATCTTCGCATTTCCCTAAAACTAGAACATCCCACATCCTTAACTACTTGCGAACGGTAATCTAATCTAGGTCTACTTCTACTCCTCTTAACTCCTGTTTCTGCTTCTAATATGTCTCTGATTAGATTTTGATACCTAAGAAGATGTCCTACTAACCTATCTCGCCTATGTCTTATTGACTTCCATAGAGCCCACTGTTTTCTTATTCTTCCTAATACCTCTTCATTTTTAACCTTCTCTATCCACGGTATCCTCATCATTCGCCGGTAACACCACATTTTGAATGCTTCTAAGCTTTTTTTTCCACGGCGGCAACCGTCCATGTTTCGCTCCCGTGCAGCGCCACGCTCAAAACATACACCTTTAACAATCTTTTTCGAATTTCTAAATTAATCGTTCACGAGCATAGGAGTGACTTCTTTTTATTGAAGGGGACTCGGCCCTGCGCTATCCTCTGCTTTATATCCCTACTAGCCCTTCCGTCCTGACTTATCTGACTTCCTAGATACCTAAAATCAACCACTTCTTCCAATCTTTCGTCTCCTATCTTTATATTCACACTTTCCCTACTTTTTCTTCCCTTGCATACCAGTATTTTTTTTACTTTTGTGGTGTGTGTTTTATTTATTTAAACTTATCAAGTTTCAATGATTCTTCAAGAATTTGGAATGCGGATAAAAAATAGAATTAGAAACATTAAAAAATTCATAACCACCTAGTTTAAAAGTGCTTTATTAATCAAAACATTATCATTTTATTCAAAATCATCACACTTCACCCCATGTCTTTGTACGAAATTCATGAACTCAGAGTTGCAACTTTTTCATGTTAACCGATTATGTATTGACGCTAATAATAATACTAGATACTTGAATAATTGACTCCACACATCATTAAATAATAATAAGAAACGAAAATAAGAACTTGATGTTGGTTACATTGCCTTCGTAATGTAAACTGCTCAGTTTTTTCAAAATGCAATATGACGAAATGACAGTTTTGATGATGAGCAGACAGCAAAGACTAGGAGTAGACGGATCTTTCTGTGAAGGTGAACGGTCTTTGTATGTGTAGATGTTACCGGAACTGTATGAAATCTAGGATTTATATACAATTCCTAGGAAATGTATACAATTCCGAGGTTATTTAGGAAATCTATGAAATATTATTTCAAAGATTTTTAAATACACACACTCCTGGGAAATGTATACATTTCCTAGGACTTGGATGAAATTCTGATATTGTACTAGAAATGTATAAAACTAATGTTTTCTGTGAATAAAATGAATAAAACACGCTAGTAAACAGAGAATCAGAGTTATCTCTGTTTACGCGGTTCTAGTGCGATCGCCTTATTTATGCATTGGTGACGTTATTGTTTAGTTAGATTAGGTTTGGAGATATATATGAATTAGTGACGTTATTATTGGGTAAATTTATGTTAGACTAGAGTTTCATTAATTCCTTTGGCTGATATGTTGGAATAATGTCTTCGAAAAGTATGCTTCATTATGATCTCCGCCCCCAATATATGTATATGAAAATGATTAGCATTATCACCTCTACAATACAAGGTCATCGTTTTTGCTGAAACAAAGATAACCTCGTCATATTATTCTAGCAGCTAATGCTGGCAGGGACCTTAACATAAGAATTTCTAGCCTACAAGATCAGTCGTCTTTTTCGATAATCTGCGACAGGTCAGGTAATAGAAGTCACTATTTATTTCAAATATATTAAATCAAAATGGCAATAATCAAATGTTTAAAATGGTTTTATTAATAAGAACAAGTGTCACAAATATAAATGTTTAGCTTTTTAACTCCTAAACACGTGAACACAACGATAATGATACAACGGAACAACAGGTTACCATCCTTACCGGAGTCATAACAGATAAACATAATTCCGATTCATCTGCATCGTCTGAGCGATCGTTACCTAGGTCTTTGCTTTATATTCTTAGTTCGCCACTAAAGAGAAATGAGAACCACTATAATTCCTATTACCCCGAATTAATCAAATATCATCATAATAAGGTCGCCAGTCCTAAGACTGGTTGGACACGCATCTCCACTCTTTCCTATCCTGCGCTAATCTTCACATTTCGCTAAAGCTAGATTTTTTTTTTTATGTTTTCGTGGAAGAGGGGAAATCTTCAGAAGACACCCAGCCGTCCGTACGACTGGGTAGTGTCGGATTCCCGAGGAAGAAGTCCTCGGACCTACCGACTAAAACCCCTCTACCTCAGGCCGTTTTAGGACCAACTAGGGTCCTCTTCAGCCGGTGTGATTTTGGTAGTGTTATGTGGTTATGGTTTGAGTTGTTGAGGTGTGTGTGTGTGTGTGTGTGTGTGTGTGTGTGTGTGTGT